ATACAAGAATGGAATTTTTATTCCTCATCCTTTTCATTATAATTGATTGATGTTTTTCGCTTAAATTATAATGAGTTACTAAAAACAGGAAAAATGCTATCACTTTTCTGTGATTTTTTTTTACATAAAATACTGTAAAAATATTCTAGAATTTACATATTATATTAATAATCTAATTTTGTAAAAATTAATTTAATATTTTTGTAATACATATCACACTTTAAATTTGATTTTTATTCCCTAAATCTATGTGATAATTGATCAAAAACTATTATAATATATTCCTAAATGTTGTAAAAATATTCTAATTAATTAATTATATATTTAAACATATTATAGTAATAATAATATTTTATAATTGTGGGTTTCATATTTTTTCGTTTTATATTATTTTTTAAAGAGTGTTTTATTGTTTAAACCCACATAATGAGAAAAATTTCACAATTTTCTCTTAAATATTATTTTAACATATCTAATTAATTATATATTTAAGCAAAAATTTTAATTATAATAAAGTTTTATAAATGCAATTAACATATGTTTTATATTCTTAATACATCCAAAATTAAATGACAAAAAGTAAATAATAATTATATTTAAATACGCATTTTCTTTTGACTTTTAATTATAATTACTATCACTTAATTGAGTCATGTAAATAATGATTAAAATATTTTGATGCCTTGCTGTATATTTAAGCGCCTCGTTAACTGTTTTTATTCCTTAAACATTGTAAAATATATGAAATTTTACTAAACTTACGTTTATAAAATAGAATTTAAATTATTTTCAAGCTTATTCTTAGTTTATAAACTTCAAATTACATATTTCACAGTTGTTAATTATGATATTAATCATGGTTAACTTTCTGAATGATTTGCACATTGAGTGCTATCTGAAAATGAAATTTCTACTCGAATTTTTATAATTTTATTGATTAATAATTAAATATTGTTATATATAATCACTATAAAATGTAAATTTAATATTAAAAAATAATATTAATTTTACAAATAATGGTCACATTTGTTAATTAATTACATGTTACTGCGAGTATAAATTATACATTAAAGTACCTATAAACGTATCTTTTTCTATTACTTTATATAAAATATACATTATTTATACACGTAAAATTAAATTATGTAGATAACGATGATTTATGATACAGTATTTTATGATATCTGAATGTACTATACTGTACTGTACATCGCACAAAGATGTATCGATTGATAATTGGTTTCTTATGCATCAAAAGAGTATGCATTAAATAATGATTTTATACAAAACTGGAATAAATTAATTACTTTGAAAATGCATTTTTACGTTTAAATAAGTGCTTTTGACATTTTTCACACGATAAGTCTTCTTATAAAGTCGAAAGTTTGATAAAATCAATGATTCTTTCTTTTAACTATTGGAGCTCGCGAGCTACTTGTTGAAAAAATAGTTCTGAACTAGTTTAGCATTAATATATAATATATAATTTTTTTCAATTTTTAAATATTTAAAAATATTTTAAACATATAAAATATTTAAATTCATTAATAATTAATTGCTTACATTCTAAAAATAAAGCTTTAAGAATATTTTAAACATATAATGCAAAGCAGCCAACTGAGTTTATTGAATTCAATCTTTAAAAAGTTGTAATTTAATTAATAAAAGTTTAATATTACTTATATTCTGAAGCGAAAAATCTTTAAACTTTGATAAAAGAAGAAAAAATTTTTCTTTCACATCGTTATTGATTTCCATTATTTTTATATCATTGATTTCTAGTAACATTAATTTTTTTCACAAATATCTATAAAAAGTTTTCCATTTATCTATGAATTTTGTAAATAATTTACGGAAAATGCACTGATTATTAATTTAATTCACTAATTTAATTAATTTTGCAACAAATTAATTAATTATTACAATTTTTTTTATGCATCATTTCACGTTTCCTCCATCTGTTTACATCCTCATCTTGTTTTCTTGGATTTATTTACATATATTTCTTAAGAATTTTTGGAGGAATTTTTATTACATATAAATTAAAATTCTTTAAAAATTTGTAATTAAAAATAATAAAAAATAATAATAATCTTTCTCTGCACGACTTTCTATAGAACTTGTCTCTCTGTAATCATGGCTCCATAAGATGCCACACCCAAAGTATTCTAAAGAGTAAAAATTACGTAATAATCTACAGATAGTACAATTTATTCATCTACATATTAATCATGTCCTAAAAGTTGAGAGATCATTCAGATAAATACACCTTAGAAAAATGTATAAAAAGAATATAGAAATCTGAAATTCCCAAATGGAATTTCATAAGAGAAAATTACGAGACATAATTTACAAAGGGTAAAAAAAATANCCATTCATCCCCTTGACACATCGTGATAAAGGCAACAATGGTGGGTTAAAATTTTAAAAAGAAATTTTCAAACAGTTTTCTAATATACATTTATAAAAATTCATTTAAAATAATTGAAAACGAATATCTAATATTTACTCGTGTAAAATTCCTTAAGCAAATAAATTATTAATGTATAAAATATATCAATTTTAATTAAATTATATTTACCAATCTCGAAAGTTTATTGAAGTAAACAATATTTAAATGTTAGAAGAGTAAAAAGAAAAAAAAGGGGAGTAATAATTAATAAAATATTTTTAAATATGTCAATTTAATTTCTATTTTTGGTAAATAGTTAATTTTAATATAAGCAAACTGTTCATTCTACTCTCTTACTTTTTCTCTCTCCTCCTTCTCTTATTTATTCATTTATAATTAATGAAAGAAAACGAAAACTCTTCATAATATTTTCGTTTAATCTTTAATATTTATGGTATATATTTATATTTCTGTAATAATAAATAGTTTACAGAACTATTCATGTATATTTTATATCGTGTTTTGAATATTCGATGGACGTTGTAAATACATTTGGGAAGATGTTCTTATAAATAAGAAAAATTCTACGTCGATATACAACTTTTTAGCTTGTTTTTCTTTATATTTTTAACCAAAATTTACCTTAAAAATAAATCTTATTTAAAAAAAAATATGTATATATATATATATATATTTTATCAAATCTTGTAAATATTATATGAATGAAAAAAATTAAAATTCTCTTTAAAAAATAGTATCAAAGTAATTATATTATCTTAAATTCGTTATAAGTTATAAAACGTCTTTTATATGACCACTTCGACGTCTTTACATCGGACCACACCTAGATTATTCGAATGATTCCACCTACAATTAAATTATAATTATTTTGATTGTAATCTTACAGATAAAATTTAATGATATTCCATTAAATTCTTTTATACTTTAATTTATAGTAAAGAAGAAAGGGGAAAAAAATTGCATTAAATGGAATAATCCACAAGTTTTATTTCTTGTTGAATGTAGTTTTGCGATCACTAAAATGCCACGTGTTTTTGTTTTCATGAATTATTCGTTTAAGCACATTCGTTCTTCCTTCACGTTCTTTTGCTCCTTAGATACAGTAATCGTTTCAACCGTTATCTAGATACAATATTTATATTCCGAATTTACTACAGTAATCCATCAGTCATTGGGTGGATATGAAATTTGTTGTAGAACCACACCCGCCTGTTGGCACCGTAATCTAAGAATTAATGATTCGTTTATATATATATTTGCCGGATTATATATAGAAAAATATGGTTTGTTTCTAAAGTTTATTTAGAAACAAACTATTTTTCTTTCTAAGAATCTGTCGTGACGGTAATCACGATTTTCGTGACTATTCTTGATCCCCATCTACGGTGGCTGTTCTCTTTTGTATGGATACTTTTATTCTGTCGCCATAATTTATTAATTATATGCTCTTAAAGAATATATATTTTAAAAAAAATCCTTTCAGTTAGTAACGCAAAATACAAGAAAATAAAATCATATTTTCTTATAGAAGTCTTTCTATTTTACTATAATAATGTACAGTATAGTTCACTACATTTATACGAATCTTATCAATTTATTTTAAGAATAAAGTAGAGATTTCTTAAGCTCTTTCAGTTAATAATAAGATAAATGATGTTTTATTATTATTATTTTTTTATAAATAATTTTTATTACAGCTCTTACAGGGTGTTATTATTTTTTAAGTTTTCATTAGATTGGATTTAGATTTATTCTCATAGAAAATTCTTATAGTGGGTTCTTACAAGAGTATTGTTGTAGTGTGTGTTGTGTCTTAGAGAAAACCGTTCTTAACGTCGGGTTTTAGCATAATTTTAAGAATAAAATTAATATTTATTAAATTATTTTAATTGAATACGCGATATTATACAGGATGATAAAACTATTTATTTTTTATCGCCTTTCAGATAGTTTTTATAGACACTTCTTCATCCTATTCTTATGTTCGCATTTTTATCATAATAGCGCACTTTATAAAAAGATAAACATCATTTTATTTTATTCTTAAAATCAAAATTTATACAGTATATAATTTGTTTTAAACGGATACGAATAAATCAATTTATTTACTATACTCCTTATTTTCAAAATTTATNATTCAACCTTTTCTTGATTGAAAGATCGTCGCATTAATCAAGAATACGATTTGTCATTTTTTGGAGATCGAGAACTACCATTTGGGATTCTAGAATATAGTTAACTTAATTTATAATATATTTTTAATTGATTTATTCAGTATATAAAACAATATTAAAAGCCTAAATAGAGAATAAATTTGATCAGAAAAATTCGAGTTATTTAATTTAAAAAAGTAAACAGGAATTCAAGAGCATGAAAAATATTTTTTCCAGTTATAAAACTCAAGAAAAATATAGGAAATATTTCCTGTTAATACAACAAAAAATAAATATCAAATCATATTTTGTGGGAATTCTTATTTTTATTATCAAGATGGAAACATTTGCAAATAAATCACAACTCATTCAATCATCCTTTAGTAAAAATTTTCACCAAAAACCCATTTCCTCCTTTTTATCCCGTTACCAAGGCAACTACATCTTGACCGATCTCGCGTCACGTGACAGCTCGAATAACCAATAGCTGTTGAGCAAGTTAAGAACACCGAGCTTTTCACACAGCCACGCCATTTAGTGTGTCAGTCAGTAGAAGGAGCCGCTTTTAGTTCAGACATGACAGAAACTTACTCTACTTATGAAGAGGAGGTAAGCTTAAAATCATCCATAAAAACAGTTTTTAACATAATTCATCATCTTTATATAAACTGCAAGTTGAGTTTTTTTTAAATGCTGAATTCAAAAAAGATTATATATTTATAATCTAATTTATCCATGAAGTTTTCAATGTTGCTTAAATTTATGCACAGTTATTATGAAAATTTACATATTTAAGCTGATAAATTGATTAATTTTTGTTGTATTTAAATCTAAATAAAAGTCTCTCAATTTTTTTAACCCCTTTTCCGTCTGCAGNGTCAGTAGAAGGAGCCGCTTTTAGTTCAGACATGACAGAAACTTACTCTACTTATGAAGAGGAGGTAAGCTTAAAATCATCCATAAAAACAGTTTTTAACATAATTCATCATCTTTATATAAACTGCAAGTTGAGTTTTTTTTTAAATGCTGAATTCAAAAAAGATTATATATTTATAATCTAATTTATCCATGAAGTTTTCAATGTGGCATGACAATTGTAATCTTTAAACTCAACCTAGTCAGTTTATTATCATTAAATGTTGTAGCATGTTTATGTTGTTTGCATTATTATCATGATTATTATTAAATAATATGCATGAATGTGTGATCAGTATCAATTTCTTTTTTGTTTTTTTTTTCTCCTCCAGCATGTCCTGTGGTCTCTTTGCAACCCCCTTTGTCAGTGAGATGGCTCTGAACTGTTAAACCAAGTGGATGTATATATACATGTGTATATATATATATATATATTATAAATATATATTTCAATTATTTGCATGGAGTATCAGAAAAAACCGTCGTTGGAGATGCTTTTGTATATAAAATTTTATATTAATTCAATAAAATATATATAATTTTGCATCGATGTTGTGTGATGGTACAACCTTTTTTCTGTTATGATACATATATATGTATATTTATATATATATAGGATGACAAAGATAATTAAGTAAAATGCGTGTTAAATATGTTATTTGTTAAGCTTGTTAACTTGATCATATAGTTGCTATGGTGAGTAGAACAGGTGGGAATTGATGCAGTGACTTCACTGCTCGATATCTTGTTAATATTCTTTTGTATATACTTCAAGCAACATGTACTAGAAGATACAACAGGGATTAAATAGAAAGGAAACTTCAGAATGTGTTAAACTATTTAAGAAACTTAAAATTCTCTAATGTATTTAACTAGTTGTAAACATTTTATTTTTCAAGTTTTTTTCTTTAGCTTCAACTAATCCTGTTAAAATTTGTATATGGCTAGCTATTAAATCATTAAAGAATACCATTTTTTTCCATTTTCTAGTAAAGTGAGTTAGATTTTTCTGAAATAGGATTTTAAAAAACTACATTTTTTTAATTTTTACATTTGCTTACTTTAATAAATTTATTTTAAATACAAAAAAGTGACATTTATTTTTCTTTAATATTTAAAGTTATTAATCCTTTACGAGTTATTACAAATAGGAAAGTTTTTTAGCTGGAGCGTAATTTTGTCATTAACGAATGTTAATTATTTAAAATTACAATATGTATAGATATAATTCTTTGAATTTATCGTGAATTCTGACGTATGCACCAATAATTAAGCTGCTTATGAAATAAGTGTACAAGCAATTATCTCAAGTTCACTTCAAATAGTAATGGCACTTCAATACGTTTGATGTTTAAGTGCTTAAAAATTATTAGATACATCTAATATTTTTATAGCCTATAATTAGCTTTATATATAAAGCTAATTTTAGGCAATCGAAAAAAATATATATATACGCTTGGTAAATAATAAGTTTTTAGTGATTTCCAACTAACTGGATCTGATGACCTGGATCTGAATATATTTAATTTACAAATATTAAAAAACTGATGGATACAGTATACACAACAATTTCAAACAATATTAAGTAGAATATTTACTAAATAATGGATTATTAGTGATTATTTTCAAGCAGTGGTTTTGATTATCATTGCCAATTGCACCAGTCTTGTTATATTTGAAATTCGTTGGATATTTGGATATTTAACAATAACTGTGTAAAATTAACTTTATAAAACCAATTTTAAAAATAATACTTATTAAATAAAGGATTTTTAGCGATTATTTTTAAATGATGACTTTAATGATCGTTGCAAGTTGCACTAGTTCACTCATAACTGAAATCCGTTTGATCTTTGAGTATTAAAAAGTAAGGAGATATATTATATAAAACTAATTTTACACAATTTTGAAAAATAGTATTTGCTAACTAATAAATTTAGCGATTATTTTCAAGTAGTGGCTCTGATGATCGTTGTGCGTTGCACCAATTCAGTTACAACTGAAATGGATCATATTGTATAATGGCTCGAGATTATATTGTATAATGGCTCGAGTTTTCATGCATTCGAATCGTGAAAAATGTGAATTTCGTAAATGATTACTCGTTATCGACCCCGAGTTTAGTACAAACACACACACAGTTCTCCACGTCCTTGGTACAATGTCAGGTTAGGCAATCGATTCTATCGCAAGTAGAATCGCTTTGGAGAGGAAATAGCAACTTGAAATCTCTCAGCTGCTCCAAGTTCCGACATACAAAACAAATGGAGATATTAGCTGTAATGGAACTAAACTGTGGATAATTTATTAAATGTTCTATTAAGAACCGGTGCAACGTATTATGCCACACAATTAGAGATTAAAACGTCGGTAATAACTAAAAAACGTTAACTATGTTACAGAATTATAACACAAAGGTATACAGTATACTGTAGTAATTTGCATTATGCAATAAACAATATCAATTAAATAATTGTAATAAATTATAGAAAATATATTTCAATTAAAACTTTTATTATATTGATTTTTGCTAGCTTATAAATTGCGAAATTATATTTTTAAAACACTTTTTCGTCAATATAAAGAAAAAAGGAACAGCTATACTACGAGGGCCTTTCAGCTACTTGGAAGACACTCGTTGCTTAATTGTTAGAAAAATTAAGTTAATTTCTTTTATTTTAACTTTTTAATAATTAAATTTATTCTTTCATCAGAAATAATGAATATTTATATTATTTTACACATAAATTTTATCTACAATTAATGATTACAAATAGAAATATTTTGAACAAACACGTACATTTTCTCATTGTTCAGTACAAATTTGGTTTGTTTAGTAAAATTTCCAAAGCGAAAAAATGACTAAAGTTCCTATAAGAAAAAGAAAGTTTCAATATAAGTCGATAATAAGAATTACTTTATATGCTATTTCAAAATAATGAGAATAATAGTAAACATTATACTAAATTTTCTGAAAAAGTCATTAATAACTCAAATGATGTTATATTCATATAATGAAAGATTTCTTCAGTAAACAAATAAATAATTCACTCAAAACTATGAAAAGTATCAAAGCAACTTATTCACTGAAAAATATGCTTCTTTTACTCTTTTGGGAGTTTGTAAACATAATCAATTATTTTACGAATTTTAACGTAAATTGCATGTTTTTTCCATCCTTTTTACAATTATTCACAGATCTGTTTGTGAACTTTATATCAATTATTCATATTTTTCAATGTAAAAGTAAGTAAAAGACTTCAAACTAATACAAAACAATGCGTTATTACGATCAAATAAATATATTTTGTATAAAGAAATGAAAGAAATTATTCAAAACGAATTCAATAAGCTACAAAACATTGAAAGAGATTTTGTTTAAAATAAGTATAAAATAGTTATTTATATAATAATCTTTATAATAATTATTCAATATTTTAAATAATTAATAAACAATGTTTATTCTATGTTTATGAAGTATATAATCTTGTATTCACCATTAGCTTTCAGCTATTCTTCTTTTTCAGATATAAATAAACATGTATACATTTACTGTACATTAACAACACGTGTAAATATTTTTAATGCTTTTTAATTATAAAATAATTTAATTTTTAGTTTTAAAAACAATCTTACAATACCCAACTTTCAGTATACCAAATTCCAAGAACATTTTTCATTGTAATAAATGTTTTGTTAAATACAAATCAAAATTTCCCTGTCAAGAGAATGGCGAATTTTATTTATACAGTAAAGCCCTTCAAGGTAAACAACCCCTATATCTTGAACACCTCTCTAAACTTAATTAAACACTTAATTAGAACCATCAAATATCTCTCTTTCCCTTTCCTTCTATCTAGGATATTTTTGTGAAACCACTAAAATTTCCAACTTAAAAGCTTTATACTGTACATAATTTTAGTACTGTAAGTGTTGAAATGTCAACCAGAAACTTTGAAAAACATTGATTTAAATGAATGTGAAAGTTTAGAAACACGTTCTAAGTATGGTTTTTATCTGAAGATGTTCTTATATTCTTCAAATTATATTTTAAAAACTAATTTCTCACGTAATTCTTGTCTAAAATCTTATAAAATGTCATCAAATATTACGTCTAAGCCATGGTTTCTTCAGTTGAATAATGTTTTTCTTCACTGAGTAAAGGTCAGATATAGCATCAAATGTATGAGTAAAAGTTTATCTAGTAGCTTTATTTCATTTCCTTAACAAGAACCGTGTCAAAAACGATTCTCTGAATACAAATTTTATGGAAACACAATCTTACGTGTTTAGAATCAGCAAAATTTAAAGAAAAAAAAAAAACTATCATAAAAAGCGTGGAGTACAGTAATCCAAACAGCATTATTTATATGTATTTTATTTGAATTTCTTTAACGTGTCTTTGTAAGTATATTAAAACAATATATTTTAAAATTTATATTAAGTTCATTCGTGTGTATACGGGTAAAACATGCTTTACTTTTTGAGTTTTATCCATAATTAATCGGACAAACTTTAACATGAATCTGTACAGATGATGATAAAACATCCTTTTACATGTTAAATTACTTTAATCGAATTCATTAGTGTTCCTTGATTAATGTTTTATATTGTCTCCCTAATCAAGTTTCTTAAGTGCAATTAACTTAAATAATTAATTAATCAATTTAAGATGTCTCTTATCCGTGTTTTTAACCAGTTTTTTTTTTAAATTGAAAAGTCGCTATATTACCGAACGACGATAAACTTAATCAACATGTAGTCCTCGAGTTACAGATTTAAATTGTCATAAATTATTAAATTAATCGTAATTATGCAATAAAACATGTTTAAAACTTTCGTTAAATCATCTAGAATTTAATTATGAAACTATCTAATTTAAAATGCTGTAAATTATTTAAGAAAATTCTTTATAATGTGACAAATATTGTTATAAATTAATTTGTAAGTAATGAAATTATTTTTAAAAATAAGTCAATTAATTAATAAAAGTAATAAATTCTAATTAATTAACTTTGTCCTCAACATCATTGATTGTAATCACAAGAAAGATTAGTATTTGTATAAGCCTCACTCTTGTTTAATGTTCGTGTTTGTCTTAATATAAGAAGTAAAATCTCAAGTGGCACTAAAAAACTAATAGAAAAAAATCTTATTTTCCTAAAATAAATTAAGAAAAAAAAATTAATAAAAAT